CTGCTCCTACTCGGCGCCGGCGCGCGCCCTTTCCGGGGCCTCCCCTCGTGCGCGGCTTCGGGCGCTTCCCGTGGCGGCCACGCGCCGGCCTCCCGCCTTCCCTCCGCGAGGCTGCGACAGAGAGCGGCCGTCGCGCCCGCGCCCCTTTATAGGCCGCGCCGCGAGGGCCGCCGGCCGAGGGCGCCGCTGCCCGGCCCGGAAGGAAGGAAGGAAGAGGGACGGAGGGAGGGAGAAGGACGGGGCGAAGGGCGAGGCTCCACGCTCTGCCGCCCGCCGCCTGCAGCGGCGCCCCTCGGCCGGAGGAGCGAGACCCGCCGCCCGGGCTCGGCCCAGGCCTCGCAGCGCTCTGCCTTGGGCAGGCAGGGCGGGACGGGGCGGGAGGAGCCCCGCCACTTGCAGCGCGCCCAGCCGGCCCTGCGGGAGCTGGCGGCTTCCCCCACCTGTCTGCGCGGGCACAGGATTGCGCCCCGACTAGCGCAACCGAGATCCAGTCGTGGACTGGGGCTGTTGCCAGACGCGCTGCCCAGTCGCCCTTGACTTGTGGCCACCCACGGATGGAAGCCCCCATGTCCCGCCCTCGACAGCCCTGCTCAGCCTAGCAACCCAAGGCTGTGGCTCCCTTGATGGAGCGAGTCCACCGCGGATCTCCCTTTCCTCTTCTGCCTTCCGCATTCCCACTCCTCCAGGGAGTCTTGCCGTGATGTGGTCAACCTCCAACCACTCCAGTTTTGCCATTTTTGTGTGCAGGGAAGTCTCTGGCCTCATCCCATCCAGGATCCCCTTGTTCAGCTTTCTGCCAGCCCAGGGAGTTCACAAAGTGAATCCACAATCAAGCGTGGAGGCACACCCATTTCCTTGAGAGCCATCCCTAGCTTGCTACTGCATCATGTGCCAAACTCATCGAAGAGGGAATGAGGCCCAATGTGTGATGCTTCACACCTCAGGTTTACCTTGGCAGCTTGCTTTCAGCGAGCTGCTGCGATGGAACCAGAGAGATGGATTTGGATCCCCTAGACCTGAGCCTCCTGATTGCTACAGTGGCCCAACTGTGATCAATCACAGTTGTGCAACTGAGGCTGGAAATTTATTTTTAAAATGGATTTTTTGTGCACAGGTTTGTGCACAGCTGAAAAATGCAGGGAAGACACAGGCAGCTCCTCCAAGCTGCCATTGTGGCACTGAGAAGGGACAGCTCACAGTTGTCCAAAGGGGATTACAAAAGCCAGCCTGGATGGTCAGTTTTTGGAATCTCCCCCCAAAGCCAAGATTAAAGGGAAAGAGATACAATGGGGAAGGGGTGAGCACCTCAGTACTCCTGCAATGTTCCCTGGGATACCCACAGGAGGACTCGGGGTGTGCGGGGGGGGAGATGAGGGCTGCTACCCACAAGGTGCATGAGAGTCTGCTGGGTACACCAGGTGTGGGTCGCTTATCATGTGACCCAAACCTGCCTTATAGTTGCCTTTTCATTTTGGCTTCCAACGTTTCCAGACAGGTGACATGCTACTCGCGGCTTTGCCAGCAGGGGGCAAGCTGAGGTCGCATACTCCTCCTGAGACAGGGTAGCAGCGCCAAGGTGCGTGGCCGGCGGTAGCATAACTCTGGCATAATGCAACTCAGATCTGATGCAAAGCTGAAAGCAAAACAAGACCACTACAGACATGAGCCGGGGTGCAAGTGGGGAGCTGGGGAGAATGCTGTTGCTTCCTTAGCAGTGCTGCCTCGCACACTCCCTCGCGGGAAGCTGCTGGCCACAAAGGCTGTTCCAGCAAGCAGACGGTTGCTTTTGGCTTTGCTATAGTCTGGTGCTTGAATGACTGGTCTTGTTTGTGGGGAAGGGTCAGAGAGCCCCAATATCTGTCCCCTGGGAGTGGCAGCGTCCTGCAGTCCCTGGTTTGATTCCTGACCCTTGCATAGGAGGGTTCAGACCAGGGAGGCAAGCAAGCTGCTGCTGCTGGACCTCAAGCGGAAGGAGCCGAGACAGAGGGCAAGCGTGCTGCGCCCTGTGGCCTCCCCAAAACTCTCACTGGATGCAGAGCACGGAGTGCTTGTTGCTACCAGCAGATCTTTGGGCTGATGCCATCCTGAGCGCCTGGACGGCTTCTGGGGTCTGGCTCATGGGTGCTGCTCTGGGCAAGGGCCTGGTGTAGGGCCAGGACTGCTAAGCCTGGGGGACACCCGCCCCCAGGTGGATGTGCCCAGGCAGAAGGGGCTGTGGAGGGCAGGGCTGCAACAGCTGGGGAGACTCTGTGTAGGAAGAGGCTTCATCTCCATGGCATCGTGGCTCAGGTGGGAAAGGAGCCGGAGCCGGAGCCGGATGGGGTCTGTGCTGCTCTGACCTCCAAGGATTCCCAAGCATGCAAAATTTCAAGTAAGTGTGATCATTAGTTTCCCTCAGTGAAAGATGACCATAATGACTGATGCGACAATGTTGAAGAAAATCGAGCACCGCGCTGTGATTAAGTTCCTTACAAAACAAGGAAAAAGTCAAAAAAAACATTCACAAAGAGATGGTGGCCGTTTACCAGGACTCTGCACCTTCATTATCTATTGTTCAAAAGGGGCAGAGAAAGCAATGAAGACGACCCTCGCTCGGGCGGGCCGGTTACTGCCAATGCGAAAGAAAATGTGAAAAAAATTGAGAAACTTGTGTTGGAAGATGCCCGAATAAAAATCAAAATGTTAGCAGAGATGACAAACCTATCCGTTGGTACCGTATTTACTATTTTTCATGACCATCTTAACCTTTCAAAGGTCTGTGCAAGATGGGTGCCGCGAAGGCTCATGGCGCCTCAGAAACAAGTGCGAGTCGAGTGCTGTGGAGAGTTTTTAGAGCTCTGTGGTGAAGATCCATTGAGTATTTTCGACCGGATTGTTACTGGAGATGAAACTTGGGTTCATCACTATGACCCTAAAAGTAAGCAGGTGTCCATGCAGTGGCATAAAAAGGGTGCTGACCCTCCAAAGAAATTCAGAGTCACTCCATCGGCTGGAAAAATCATGGCCACAGTGTTTTGGGACTCCAAGGGAATTTTATTGATCAAGTACACAAAAAAAGGTGAAACCATAAACGCAGCATCTTACGCAACCACTCTGCATAATTTAAGAGACGCAATTAAAGAAAAAAGGCGGGGAAAACTGACCGCAGGTGTGTTGCTTCTGCATGACAATGTGCCCGTTCACACGGCGTGTGTTTCAAAGGCTGCTGTGCGAGACTGTGGTTTCGAAGAAATAAACCACCCACCCTATAGCCTGACCCTGGCCCCCAGTGATTACTACCTATTCCCGAATTTAAAAAAAGATCTGCATGGAAAGCGATTTTCTGATGATGAAGAGCTAAAGGCAGCAACGCACATTTTTTAGACAAGGAGGAAGGGTATTTTTTTCAGGGAACTGAAAAGTTAATTTCTAGATGTAATAAGTGTATTGAAGTTATTGGGGATTACATTGAAAAATAAAAATGGTTTCAATTTATTATTCCTTTTTCTTCAAGCCGATGCCGAGAATACATTGAACACCCCTCGCATAATCCAGGGTGTGCATCTCCCAGCCCCGTTTTGCAAAACAGAGCATGCATGTTCTTAAGAGTCTCACGTCCAGTCACAGCGCACCCGGCAAGGCTGCGGCCCTGTCCCCCTTCGCCTGGGAGCAGGCCGTGCGCAACGCACTGGCGCTCACGTCTGAGCAGACGAGCACACAACTGCACCGTATGACGTATGCCCAAACCTGCGTCCACATTGCGCAGCGGGCTTTCAGGCATACCAGTGGCCATCATCAGATACTTCCCATGGGCTGCCACTGGGACTGAAGGGACGTGGCAGCAAACTAAATGAGATGCCATTAACTGCCGGTCGCATTTTACAGCTGAATGACCTGGGAAGCTGGGTGAGGGCTGGGCAGGGGAAGAATATGCCTTTGTCCCAGTTGTAGTCCTAGTCTAGGCTGCCCCCTCCAAATCCTCCAATAAAAAAGTCGCCCACATAATTGTTATTTGTTTGAACATCATCATGTCAATATCAGCCCTCAGGCCAGAGTGGGACAAGAGAAATGCTGGAGAAGCTTCTGCACAAAGCGGTCTCCACCTGCGCACTTCTAGAGTAGCATCTGATGTGTGGGGAGCAGTGGGGGACGCCAGCTCGCACCGTGGATGTCTTACCTGTGCTCCCCATGGCATGAAGGCTTTTTAGGTGGTCCACTGTCATCTGCAGTATCTCTGCTTTCTCCAGTCTGGATGAGCCCTGTCGTGGGAGCACAGGGCTTTAAAAGGGTGAAGGCCGGTACATGTACAGGGAAAAGTAGGCGTATTGAATGTGCCCAGTAATGCATGGCAGTCTTCCTTCTTCCGCATGCACACACACCTGTTTCACTCTGAATTAAAATTAATTCATGATGTTGTGGTATGCCATAACCTACACACTTTTTGTGTTTTTCCACAACCTCACCAACCTTTCCCCTTCCTCCTATTTTAAAAGATTTTGCAGTCAGACTTTTATCTGCCAGCAAAAAAAGCAGCATCAGAATCAAGAAAACATGGGAGGCTTTTTGATTCTACTGTACCATCATTAAGCCTCTGCCCTGAAAAGGGGCACAAACAAAAGGTTTTCTATGCAAGATATTTATCATGCATTCATCATTCTCTACTCCCAATTGCTTACAGGATTTTTCATCATTCTCTACTCCCAATTGCTTACAGGATTTAGATGACAGTGTGCTCTCCACTTTCATTTATGCACCTAACCAGTATTTTCCCTGGGTTTTCCCAGAGGAATTAAATGCGACGTCTAATTGTGAAAACAAAAGAAATAACTTTTGCACGTATGTATTTGTGCTCATATGCTCCATCACAGTGCCACCTAGAG